TGCTGCTGAGTGCACCTTTTTTTGATGGGGGCCCTCAGAGGAAGGTTGCTGGACCTCTGTGTGTGTGTCTTTGTGTGCATACGCGCACACCCACGGGCACCTGTGGGGGGACCCGCCCCATTCTGTTTAATTTCACGGTTACCAATGAGGGCTTTTCTCCTTTGGCAAAGCGATTCTGTGAGGGTTTTTAAAAAAATGTTATGTCGTGACCTCCTCCCCCCCCCCGCTAGGCGGTCACTGGCGCTCCCTCCCTTCACTGCTTCTTCGTTCTGCTGTTGGTGGTGGTGGTGGTAGTGAAGAAGGAACCAGAGGGGGTCGTGACCGGTGACAAGAGCTCGCACGCCCCTATCCTCCTCCTCCTCGGAGCCCCAGCCGGGCTAAGGAAACTCCTGGGCAGCTTCCTCGGGCTCTTGCTCTGCCTGGCGGGAAATCTGACGCGGCCCAGTCTCACTCAGACTCTGCCTCCGGCGGCCCCCAGGTAAATTGAGTTTGAGACCCCTGCTTTATGTAATGCAGAAAGTACCTTAATATGATAGCATACTATAATACAGTGACTTATTAAAAGACAAGATTCTTCCTTTCATGTTAAAAGTATAATCAATTAATCAGCATGCATTGCATAAGGGCTTACAGTGAATACAGTATATAAGTTGATGGATGATAGGTGGCAATGACCTCTAAAAATATTTTTAGGCAGCCTAAAATGTGCAAGCTAGAAAGGGAGACATATGATTAATGATATATACGTCATCATTAGCTAAACAGGCAAATTGTCCTCTAAAGATTTAAGCTTAACCTATTGAAAATAGCAGAAATATTTTATTAGATGAGGATGGCTCACTGCAGTCCCTCAGAGACCCAGCAACTTTCTTCCAACAAATTATTTAAAATATAAGACACTTTAAGGTAAATAACCATTACAGTGATACCTTAGCATTATAACTTCATAACTACTCATCCTAAACCAAATATGTCATCAGTTTAGCAATCAATTATTGAAACTGAATTATTGAATTGTTTTTCTGCTATGACAAATAATAGCCTTTATTTTGATTAAGTGGATCCCTGCACCTATGAGAAAATAAGTTACTTGGGTACCATTTTCCTGGACAGGCAGAATGCCATGTGCATAAAGTCCTGTTGAACTAAGTTAGTCAAATACCAATTTACTCTTCCTGCACCTTAGAAATCTATGAGTTTTTCTCAATTGCTTTGTATTTCCCAATGTTATGCATTTCTTATCATTTGTTTTCATCCACACTCAACTGTTATGTTACAATGAAAGAGGTTTCTTTGCAAGGCAGGGCTCTTTTACATTGATCTTGCTTTCAGACTTGGTTGGAGAGCTGGCTGGGTTTTTTGACTTTTAGTAAACTGCTCTTTAGACCTCATTTTCAAAGCACAATGTACATGTTCAGGATTGAATTTTATAGCCCCCTTAATTATTTTAACACTTTATACATAATTTCAAACCTTGACATTACCATTGCAGGCTGATGATGTCATCTTAGTTGTGTGTTGTAAAATTACAATAGGATTTTAGCCATGGAGTCACATGACTGCTGTCCAATAGAAAATGCCTATACTGGCTTTCCAATAATTTGCTACTGAAAATTATGCCAGCAGGTGTTGCTCATAGGATTCCAGCCATGCAATAAAGTATTAAGGGGAAAACCTGAAATTCCAGAGTCAAAGGAGCCACAACCAAGGAGATCCTATCCTAGACAAATTTTTCCTTATCATGGAGATACAACAGACCTTATAGAGAGAAGACGTGGCAAAGGCCTTGTTTGAGTTTTTACATTGGCCTAAGTTATCTTCATACTGCATAAGCAGCATATAAGCAGCAAGCAGCATGCTTTGCTTTTAACACATAAATAATGATTGCTTTTTGAAAGGCTGGTCGTTTGTGGAAGGGGTTCTTCAGTAATTCCATCATGCAAGTGGAAGCCTCCTACTTTGAATGAAGTGATTCCCCAGCTCACAAAACTACACATTGAAGACTACACACACAGCTATACATGCGGACCCAGTACATTCTGCAGCCTGCAATAGGATTCTGCCCAAGTCTGCCTGGGAAAGATGGAAAAAAAGTGTAACAAAACTGAGCAGGGACCAACTGCCATATATGTATAAGAGAGAGGAAACGTTATATATACAGAATGTATTCAGATGTGCATGGCATGGTGTGACATAATACCTCACACAATATAGATTTAAGAACAAAAAAGGAATTTCTTTAACCTGGACAAAGTTCAGCTATGAATTTTGCTTCGATTTAAGAACAAATAAGAAAAAAAAAGGAATTTCTTTAACTTGGACAAAGTTCAGCTATGAATTTTGCTTCCAGAAGATGTAGTGATTTCCACCAATCTAGATGCTTTAAAACTGAGTTAAACTCAGTAGGAAGATAATGCCATCATAGCAGCTACTCTCAGAGTCATAAAAATGGAAATAACCGTTGCTGGGAAAATAAGCAGCAAAGTGTTACTGTGCCAAAGTGCTACTACAGCCACTTTGTTGCCCATAGTGCCAACAGAATGCTGTGCTAGGCCTTGGGTCTGATCCGTCAGGGTTCTTCTTTTCTTTCTATGTTTGACTGAACAGAGAAGGGGGTAGAATCATTTGTGTATTGGTGTTGTTCCAGTCAGATGATGGTTCCCTGAACAATGCCAGTGTAACAAAGTTACTTTCCCATTCACATTACTCCATTAGGACAATAAACCTACCTAAACACTGGGTCAAAATGTTAACCATAAAGAGTTACATCACTATTGCAGGTGTATAAAGGAGAAGGAAAGATATGGACACATGCTTATCTGTGCTGTAAGCACAATCACTCACCATGTATTATTAGTAAACTGCATAGCAGACACCAATATTTGTTAAGAATTTTCACCAAACACTTTGCACTGTCAATGAGACCCCATTGTTTTGATAATGATAGTAGCACTATTTTCACTCCTGAAATGAATGGTAAAGTTTAATCGGAATGAATTTTTGAACTGAGTTAATTATTTAATTGGGCAAATAAAAGTGTTCCAAGAATGCCAAGGACCTGTTCATTCCTGCCATAAATATGTTTATACATAACTGTCCTTTCTTTATCATGGCAGGTGTTGAACACCTAGAAATAAACCTGCTACAACATCCTTAGACCTTGAAAACAACACACCACTGTGTTGCCTCAGCACTATCTCTGATCACCAATGCTTAGGCAGGTGTTGACCAAGAAAAGGTCTTTACTGCTGAAGAACATTCTTCCCAGATAGGCTTGCTCTTCATCAATTCTGATGTGTTTGGGGCACCTGGTGACCTTTCCATTTGACACAACTTCTTTATGTAGACTCCATTTGTTTAATGGGGTTGTAGTTGTTTTAAACTGACATTGAATAGCTGCAGCTGTTTTTAAATTATTAATGCTATTATTTATGCTTTCCGATTGTTAGCCACTCTGGGTCTCTTGGAAGGAACATCTAACAAATATTTGTAAGAAAGAAACACATAAGTTCCTACATTTTCTAATAATTTGCAAAAATTATTGCATCTTACAGTTTCTATATAAGGATTTTTTTAAAAAAACCATCCCCATGGCAACCAACTAGGGTTAGTCACTAATTTTGAACAATTAATGTTCAAAACATTTCCAAAACACTAAATTTTTCAGCAAGTGAAATGAAATCTTCCACTTATTTCACATTTGCTGGCACCCCTCCTACACTCTTGCACATTTCATAGCCTTCTACATTTGCCTGTTCCCTCTTTAAATCCTTTCTCTTTTCGCCTTCAAACCAATTATGGAAAGATAAACATTATGCACGCTGGGTGGTCTAGTGTGACCACAAGGTTAAATACCATGTAATCCTGTAAATTCTAGTTAATCAGGAGCCATTCATTCCAGATAAATAGCTAAAGATAGTTGCTTTGGAATTCTTTAGCGCATTTGTTGTTAACTTGTATGCATGTACAAATATGGACAAATGTTTTCACTCATGTAACAGAAGATTATATAATTACTGCATTAGATTTCTTCACCTCTTTGTTTTATCTATGTCTTACACTTCTTCCATACCAATGTCATTTAATATGCCCTAAACTACTTTTCATATAATTGTTTTGGGATTTCTTTTCAGGGTGGTGGCGATGTACCCCAAGCAACTGAACATGCCTGTTTATCCATGGAACATACCATGTGGATTAAGGACCAGATCAAGACATTTTGCTGCTTCAGACATACCAGCACATGAAGTCTCCACAAGGTGCACTGTACTCAAAGCCAAGAAACTTATTTTGACAAATAAAGCGGAAGAGCTCACATAAACTCATAATCCATCACTCCAAGTAAAAATGTAAGAATGCCGAATCAAATACCTAACATTTTCTCCCCTTTTGTGATATCCATAATCTGTTGCCTGAGGCAGCTACTTCACCCTTCTTAAAGGCAGGGCCAGTTCTGCTATGATTTCAAAACAACTACTATCAATCAGTTAAAGTAAATCTGCTACTACAATCCACTTAATTGTGAGTACACTCCACTGAATTCAGTGGCTCTTAATTTCAGGTAAACATGCACAACATTCTACCATAAACCATTTTTTTCTGACCATCTGGATTCAAAAGGAGATCTTACAGTACAACATTAAGCATGTTTCCCAAGAGTAAATTCCTAATTTTGAGAATATATTAAATCCCTAATTTCTTTGGCAGAAGTGGGCACATGGTTGCAGTCTCAAAAACTTTCATTTTACATTGAAATCAATTCACTTAACAAAAATACTTTAACTTAACTAGATTGTTTGGGTCTTTTCAATACTGTTCAGAGAACTGCAATTCCCAAGCAAATCCCCCTTTTAGTGCATTCCCTGTTGCACACCCCTTGGTCAATGAGAATGCTGTCAACAAGAATTAAAGGTATTAGTTTCAGTAAGGCAAGACACTGTGTACATTGATGGCTCTAAATAAAACTTTGGAAACTCCTACATCAATCTGTCCTATGTTACCTGTGTGCTGTTCTTCAATCCAGGCTTGCAGATACATGAAGAGGAGCAGCCCTGCTACTCCGAACATCAGTACAGATACATAGACTAATTTCAGGTTCATGGCCCTACCAGAGGGCTACATTTCGACCCACTTCAGAGGAATTCACAGCTCCCTTCTCACAGGCTTTTTAGTCAGGTATGTATTGTTTTCTTTCTTGTTTTTCTTCTAGAAAAGATAATCTGGAAAGATACAATGGAATTGTTCATTTTCTTTTCTAATGTGTTATAGCCTTTAGAATATTTTGCAATGAAAGTTTTTGTATAGTTTGCTACTTTAATCCAAGGGAAATCATCTAAAAGGTTGAGTTTTCTTCTCCCACAATTTGCACCTCAATAATCCAGAGCTTCTACCAAGGCCTATGGAATTTCATTGTGGAATTTAAATACTGTACTGTAGGCCTTAAGATCAAGGCTCATTTCAGGACTGCAAGTACTGTAGTTCAAATCCTCTAAGGCAGCCATTCTCAACAGGGGCATATCCTGGCACATTTGAAAGGAGCTACAGATTGGAAGCAAGTCTTCACACACCACCTTATAACATTTGTTATATGACTTATACAATCCTGATTTGGCCTATATTTATTTCATATTGTTTTTATGGCCATGAAAAAAAAAAGAAATGTTTGAAAATGGCTGCTCTAAGCCTTGGTTCCTAACCTTGTGTAACCCAGGTGTTCCTGGACTACAGTTCCCAGAAGTCTTCATCACCAGCTGGGCTGGACAGGGTTCCTGGGAGTTGCAGTCCAAGAACACTTGGGTTACCCAAGTTTGAGAACCATTGCTCCAAAGCAATGACAGAAGCTAGGATGTTCACACATTCACAGGAAGCCAAATCAGACCCCTTGAGAGACCACTGTGTATATTTGGCCTCAGTCAAATCATACAATACAGTTAGCATGTAATTAAAAGCAAAGTTCCCTTAGAAGGCAAAATATTTCCCTTTCACCACTTCTAAGCTTGCTTCACATTGCAAATTAGCTCACTTTTGTTCTATGACTGTTCATTGTGAGGTAATCATGGCCTTCATCTGCATGCCTGATTGCTCAAGCATGCATCTGTGAAAGAACTGTGTCACTAGATGGAAAATGTTGCCATTACCTTCTGACAGGCAATTCATCTATTTTGCGTCTTATCAATTATCTACTTATCAATTTGCTCTTATCTTAACCCTTTTCTTATCTTATTTGCTGCCATCTCCACATTGACCCCAGGCTATACAGATACACAAAAATGCTAGTTGAGAAGCAACCTTTATCAAAAACCAACCTATGCTGGGCAATCCAAATATGATACAGAAATATAAGAATACTCTTTTGGTCAAAAGTTGCTTGGACAGAGAGGCCACCCAAAACCTCAACTCTTATGCACAGCTACATGTCCAGGGCTCAGAACATCCAAGAAAACTGGACAGAGAGTATCCAAGATTGAAGTTTTAATGCTTACTTATAAGGCCCTAAACGGTTTAGGACCTCGATATTTGGCGGAACGCCTACTCCCCCCCGGGTCTACCCGGATCACCTGCGCGAGTCAGGAGGTGAGGCTGAGGAGCCTGACGTCGAGAGAGGCCCGGAAGGAGAGAACACGAAACCGGGCCTTCTCGGCGGTAGCTCCTCGCCTCTGGAACAATCTCCCTCTGGAGATTTGTGCGGCCCCTACGCTGGGCATCTTTAAAACCCAATTAAAAACATAGCTATTCATTCAGGCCTTCCCTCCAGCCAACTCCTGATTTTCTTCTTTTTATGTTCTTACTTCTTATTTTATTGTAGTTATTGTTGTATTATTATATATCTGTTCGTTTTTATTGTTTGATCTTATACTGGAAGCCGCCTAGAGTGGTCCGGTGGACCAGATAGGCGGGGTACTAACTAACTAACTAACTAACTAACTAACTAACTAACTAACTAACTAACTAACTAACTAACTAACTAACTAACTAACTATAACTGTAATGTACACTTACCTTACAGGCTTAACGCCAAGATAAATGAAACTGAACTGACCTCTTAGGAGGTGGAGTGAAATATAAGTGTATAATAGCATGGGCAGCCAATCCAAGCTGTACACATCTTGAACAACATGGATACACTCTAAGTAAAGTCAGTGCTAGCTCTAATCAAAGGACAAAGTTAGCTTGGCAAGGTACAGTATATACATTGAGGATTTATTTTTTATTTGCTAACTTTATAGTCATTGATTTGAGCTGCACAAGGAACAACACTATTAAGAGCCGCATTCTCACCGGTAGCTTCAAGTGGAGCAGGCTCAAGCCCAAAGCTTTCTGAAGAATAATCTTACTTAAAATACAGAGCCCGAGGAAAAGGAAATCATTAATTTAAATGCCCTTCACCCGCCACTCAAAAGCAGCAGGATGTTAGAGTTACAAAAATACAATACAGAACCTTTTGTAGAATGCAAGGGAAAGTAAAGCTACTTAGATTGCTTTTAAATTCTAGCACACTATAATTCAAATCAGTATCGTATGAAGGGAGTATTAAATTGCATATTGAAAAGGCCCAAACCTCTCCTGACAGTCCGTACAATAAAGCCCTTGGAAACATTACTCAGAGAAAAGTTTCCAGCAAACTAAAGCAAAAGTAATAAGATAAAATAAGGCACTTGGGAACAATCATTTGGGGGGAAGGGAATGATGTTTTGCTTGTCATTCTGATAGACAGGTTTCTATTTCTTAGACTTCGGTCTCCACACGGAAACATGCCTATAATCTAAACTTATTTTAACTGATAATTGCTTTGTATTTGGAGGAGAAGTGATTAAACGAGGGAAAATGCCAGCTTCTGGAATTTTCCCTTGCATGGTATCACTTTATGAATGGTAGGGAATACAAGAGGGTATCCCATGGACCATCTTGACTGCTACCATTGGTGTTGTCAACATTCAGGCTGCTCTTTGCTATGTAAAGCTTGGCATTCTTTTTCCTGCAGGCAACACAGGCATGATATTGTGCAGCAGTATCGGACCATTCCTGAGATTTTGAATCATGGATACAGAAGCACAATATCCAACATTCATAAACCGGAGGGATTTTTCTGAAGAATTGAATTGAATGACATTTAGTGTATTGGGCTATTCACTTCCAATAACAATGGGAAAAGTGGTAATTGGTACCTCCTTCATCTGGCATACGAAAATACACATACAGTATTCAGATGAAGCAAAGGCAGCATTGAAAAGATGAAAGCTAGCAGAGCACAGGGAGGAACACTTTCTATAATATTTGCTGCAGGCTATATTGAAGCAGACTCAGAAGGTAATACTATTTTTCTTCCAGTCTGTGCTCATCGTGGCAAGACCACGCTTGATGATAATCTCTCTCCTAGGATAACCCATATTAACAGTTTTAGATCATGGCACTTTATTTTAGGTTGCCAGAAGATAATCCTTATTGGGTAAATAGATCTTATTTTTACTCTGAAACAGTTTGTTAAGTCACTGAATGAACTTGCGTGGTGAAATACGCTATGGCTATTTCATTCTTGTATCTCCTCATTGGTTTATCTTTCCACCCTGATCAACACGATATGCTTCCCCTTTCAAGGAAAAGATGAAAGGTAGCATTTAAAATATAAAATCATAAAAGGTCATTCTTGCAGAATAAATTAGAATGAAATTAGAAGCAGCACTGGAAAATGTCAACATAAAAATTGAAGCCACTGAACACAAGATGGGGGAATCAAAACACAGTTACTATAATAGCCTGCAGATGAAGATAAAATACATTCAAGAAAACTTCAAAAAACATGAATTGAAAATATGTATCTTTTATAAAAAAACAACTCAAGGACAACTCAAGAAAGCAGCAAGAATCCTGTGTGCAACATTATGTTGCCATCTTGTACTTCAAAGAAGTGTCTTTAGATATTTTTATTCTACCCTTTTTTCTTTGTGACAGATCTCATTCACTCAGAGGTTTATTATAGTCTCAGGTGAAATTCAATTCAGCCGATTATCATATCTACTACTATGGGCAAGAATCCAGTAGAAGAAATAGAGTAGCCCTCATAGTCAACAAAAGAGTGGATCTTTTATAACAACTCAAGGACAACTCAAGAAAGCAGCAAGAATCCTGTGTGCAACATTATGTTGCCATCTTGTACTTCAAAGAAGTGTCTTTAGATATTTTTATTCTACCCTTTTTTCTTTGTGACAGATCACATTCACTCAGAGGTTTATTATAGTCTCAGGTGAAATTCAATTCAGCCGATTATCATATCTACTACTGTGGGCAAGAATCCAGTAGAAGAAATAGAGTAGCCCTCATAGTCAACAAAAGAGTGGGAAAAGCTGTAACGGGATACAATCTCAAAAATGATAGAATGATTTCAATACGAATCCAAGGCAGACCTTTCAACATCACAGTCATCCAAGTTTATACAACCACCAATGCTGAAGAGGCTGAAATTTACCCATTTTATGAAGACTTACAACAGAGTCTCTGTCCACCTCACCCCACACACGGCCTGATGTTAGCATCATCAATGGTCCCGCCCAAGGGGAACCCCTACTGCAACTTGACATAGACATAGACAGCGAGTCTATGCCTTTCGAGGCCATTCATGGGTTTAATGATCTGTCACGGGAAAATCAATACTCGGTGCTCAGGAAGGTTGAGGCACTAAGGCAGGAATTGAAGACCCTAGTAGATCCCTTCGAACCCAATAGCTCCTCTGGAGATCCTCCATTCTTTCGAGGGACAAACACTTCGATTCCACCGCTTTCTACTGGGGCCACCACCTGGCCAAAAGCCTACAAGGGTAGATCCCCCTCACTTGAAGGAAGCTTCCAGACTGAACCGCCCCCATCCACCTCTACACGGGCAGAACGTACATTGTCAATTGCCCCTTCGCCTACCGGAGCTCAACACAAGAGAGCAGCCCAGAGCCTTTGTGTGGGTCAGCCTAGTCTCGAAGGAAGGGTCAACAGCAACACACTTCAACCCACCAATTTCCTCCAAACGCCCAACGTCCAAGAGCCCAGCCAGATTAAAGCTCTTTCAACTTCACTTCCAACCCAGCGTTTTCCATCTAAACTAGTTTTGGTGACTGCGGACATTCACATCTCAGAGAACTCCAGTGTTTGTCCTTCAGCCTCGCCGGTTCTGCCAGAACCCTCGGCTAGTCCGGATGCGGACATCCGAGCCGGGGTCGACTCCTATGC